TAGCTGGAGGCATGGTTGATGACAACTTTGGGATCATGACTCAAGAGGAATGGGTGAGCAGAAGACTCTCCCTCCCAACTTTGGCATGAAAAGTTCCAGAGATGGACTCAGACTGGCTCTAGTTCTGACACCTGTTCACCTAAAACCAATCTCTGTGGCCAGGAAGGTGGTGGTCTGGGATGGGGCCCACCTTAGGTAAGACCTTCATAATGTGAAGCCCCACTGCAGCCACGTTGTTGGGATGAGGGAGGGGGTGGAGTGGTTTTCCTAGGAAGAGGAAGGGTGCTGCACATATAATAGCCCAGATGTCCACTAATCCTCTGTGAGTTAGATCCATGACTCCTGAACCACACTGGACCTCAGCTTTTCTATTCATGGAGTGAGACATGTAGATTAAGCATCTCTGGGATTCTTTCCCAGCTCAAATATATTATGAATTTACTGAAAATCACGTTTTTCTCCTTATTCTTTTTTAACTTGCATGAGAATTAAATATCTCTGTTAAAGACCAGAAAAGCATGATTCCACACATTAAATAGGAGAGGGAAACAGAACTATTTAAAGAACATCCTGTCTGTGAGGATTTTTAAGAAGGTGAAACATATTCCTGGAGCTTCACCTCTGAAGCACACATAGAAATATCTAACCAAACTTTTCCCAAAGCACATTTTATCCCCGAGGAGGGCTCTGATTGTGCCAGAAGGTCCCTGGGGGCTGAATGCCCAGCATGGCATTCTCTTGGTGCCAGCTGGTCAGGGAATGCAGCTATGGATGCCATTTGGCTCCCAGTATCTCTCCCAGTGAGAGTTGGACCAAGTGGTTCTCAAATGCAGCTGCAGCCAGCTCTCTACATACTAACTGGGCTAGCTGACTGACTCCAGGGACCTGCAATCACTCCTCATTGTCATTCTTGTGTAGGGGTAAGGAAGTGTAGCAATTAAAATCTAGTCCATGATTGTAATCAGCAGCCATTAATTTCTGATTTTCCTCAATTGCCAGTGCACTTTTCAAAAGGCATAAATTCTTCAGCAAAATGATCAAGGTCTCATTTGTTTCTTCTCCTTTTTTTTTTTTGTTCCTTCTCTCCCCTAGTTACATTTTCTTGCTTTGTCTCTCTTTCTACTGGTGCTAGCCATAGATATTTATTAGACTAGAATTTGTTTGTTAATCATACGAAGTCTTTTGAACCCAGCCAGAAATGAGAGTTGAATCAGGTAGTCTGAGTGACGGATATGTTGAGCAAGAAGGATAGAAGGATGGAATCAAAATGGAATCTTATTTTTAATGTTGCTTCCTTCTATGACTTTAACACTCGTTTGGTTAGGATAGCCTTCCTTTTGCCCCTGGGTGACGACAAGGGCAGTCTGTGTGTGGGGTTCCCTCCATTTGTCCTTCCAGGTCCACTCACCAACTAGACTTGTAATGGACCACATAAATATGCTATGTGCCCTATGGATTCTGGTTGAACTTGGGCAATGGGCCAGCGGGAAACTGGAAGAAAGGGTGAGAACAAGGTCAAGGAATTTAATCTCCAGCCACTCTCCTTGTGAGGTCAACAAGGAGCCACTCTCCTTGTGAGGTGCCTGCATCCCTTGAAGGAAAGGTGATCCTCCCAAGGTTGTAAGCTCTTCACAGCTCTCTTTGCTTTGGGAAAATGCCTTCCCCATGTCCTTGTGGGTCAAGGCTGTTAACATGGGTTCCCGATCCCTTGAGGATCTCTCCCACATGCTGGCTATACCTTTCTCGTTTGACACTTTGTAAAGAAACCCTCCTTATATTCTTGCAATTTGAGTGTATTCTCTAGGGAGTAAATAGTTATGAAGCTACTTCAGTTGCAGAATGATAGTATCCAGTCCAAGATATTAATCACCACTTCAGTCTTCTCTCCAGGATAAGAATTGTAATCCTCCTTCCCCAGGTGGAACACATAGGTGGACACCTTCCTCTAGTGCGGGAAGGGTGTGTGGTTGGCTCTACTTTCTTTCTCACTTTATCCGTTCCTTGCTATTTCCATTCCTAGGCTGAAATGGGGAACAAAGGGGACTAAACAGTTTTTGCTTTAATTGGTTCTACCATAACCTGGTTTTGCACTCTCTGGCCTGGCATGGTTAGAGCCAACTCTCCCCTGGCCCCTCAGAAACTCCCTGCACTCCCACCCCCAGCTGCCCACCCATGACCCAGGAAGATCTCCCCTTGGGTTGGTTCTCCAGAGGCCTTTCCATACTTGGATGCTCACTGCTGGAGAGTCTTCACCCTTCCAGGTTACCTTGGGCAGAATTTAAGATTCTAGGTGGGAAGGTTGAACCAGCAAAGTTCCTATCTGGCTCATCTTTGTTGTGCTACTAAAGCAGCTCAACAACCTGACTCTTATGAAATCATCTTGGCCACCATTTTTTCCAGTCCTTCATATTGCCAAAGTGTGGGAGGAGGTTTAAGGACAGGAGGGAATTAATTCTCCAACATCCACTCTGGAGATCTCTCCAGGGGAGGGCGGCCATCTGTCTCATGCACATTGTGGTATGTCATTTTTGCCTCACCCTGGAGTCCCAGTCAAAATCTCAATCTTAACATACTGTATCAGACCATTACAGACACTTTTAGTTGCTAGATAATACAAAGCAGTCTAAACTCTCTTTCACAATAAAGAGGATTTGTTGGCTCATCTACCTGAAAGAGTCCAGAGGTTGGATGCTCAGTTACTCTGTGATTCTTTCGTTCAGCCTTTCCCCGGGTTTTCAGGATGGCTGCTTGAAGCAATCTAGGCATGTGTTTCCTTGTTCATACCCAGGGAGCAAAGAGGACATCTCTTCCTTCAACCACTGAACAAGAGTCCTGAGATTTGCTCTGACTGGACAAAACCTGGCAACTTAGGTGCAGTTGTTCAACCGACCAATTCTTTTTTTTTTTTTTAAGATTTTATTTATTTGTTCATAGAGACACAGAGAGAGAGAGAGGCAGAGACACAGGCACAGGGAGAAGCAGGCCCCATGCAGGGCGCCTGACGTGGGACTCAATCCAGAGTCTCCAGGATCACGCCCTGGGCCAAAGGCAGGCGCTAAACTGCTGCACCACCGGGGCTGCCCTCAACTGACCAATTCTTATCACCAAGAGAGCACAGTGTGCTGATTGACTCAAGTCTTGGGTGGGGCCATCACTGCACAGTGACAGTGGAAGAGAGATGGGTTACCTAATTGGGTTAAGCTTCTGGGGATCCATTTCTGGAATTGAGAGTGATGTTAGCAGACATGAGGGTTGAACTCAACCTTGTGCAAATCTCTCAGCTGTATAACTAAGAGGAAGGGGTTGGAATGGTTGTTCAGGAAGCACCTGCCACCACTGAGTCCAAGGTCATCTTACTCAAGCATTTGTCCCCACATAAAATATGGTTTTGTGGGGGATCTATATATTTTATATTCATAATACAAACATACTTGTCATTACAGAGGGATTCATTTTGCATTGGGGCCGACTCCTCCATTAGGTACAGTGCCTCGGGCCTGTGCTATTTTTACAGCCCCATGAGGATGTTTTAATTTCTTTTAAAATCAGAAGGAAAAAAAAGGAACTTCAAGGTCAACGAAAATGTTTTTTTTAATATATTTTTAAAAAGATTTTATTTATTCATGAGAGACATAGAGAGAGAGAGAGAGGCAGAGACACAGGCATAGGGAGAAGCAGGCTCCATTCAGGGAGCTGGACATGGGACTCTATCCCTGGTCTCCAGGATCACGCCCTGGGCCGAAGGTGGCGCTAAACCGCTCGCTGAGCCACCCAGGTGTCCCAAGAAAATGTTTTAGTATGCAATATCTATATATTCATCTTTATAGCATTACAGTTGTAAAATGTAATTCGTATGATAAGAATTATTATTATTAATAGGGGAATGGACCTACCAAGGCAAAAGTGCATGGGTGAGAAACTAATCAAGCAGCACCTTTGCATTCCTTCTTTACTGTGATATCCCACCACAGAGTTTAGGTGTTGACGATAAGAACCTGCAGTCTGAGGCAAGGAGATCACCCCTTTGAATTCAGAGGTTACTGCCCACCTGCTCAAAGAACAGATGTGGGTTCTATCAAGGTTGTACAGAGATACTCTTGTGCTTGAGAACAGCAGTCCAGGGAGGTCAGGCTTCCCTGAACACCAAAAAAGTAGGAGGGAAGGCAATTCTCCTCGGATTGGAGGCTAATTAACACGGACACGGCACATTACAGTTAAACTATTTTCAAGCACATTCTGTCCACTTGGTCCTCCGGACAATCCGGGCGCAGTACTGACCCATTTAACTCAGGGAAGGCAAATAGCCTTTCCAGTTTGCTTCACAGCGCTTTGTAGCCCACCCGACCCACTGAACTAGATCTGTGAAGGCAGGGCCCAGAAATCTGTTTCACCCAGCTTGCAGGTGACTCTCAGGCACGCTCACAATTGAGGAGCTGTTGCCCGGAGGCTGGGGGAACGAGGCTGTAGAGAGCAGGTGTGTTCCCAAATCCTCCTCTCTGGGTGGTGCGTGGGGCGGCCTATTCATTTTTTTTTTTAAAGATTTTATTTATTTAATCATGAGAGACACAGAGAGAGAGAGAGGCAGAGACACAGGCAGAGACAGAAGCAGGCTCCGTGCAGGGAGCCCGACGTGGGACTCGATCCCACGTTCTAGGGTCACGACCTGGGCCAAAGGCAGATGCTCAACCACTGAGCCATCCGGGCTGCCCGGCCTATTCATTTTAATAATCAGTAAAGGGGCTCAACACGGCCCCCCCAAGCCTACTGGCCGCCAGATCTGCGGCAGCTCCAACCTCCTAATGATGGAAAATCTGACTCAGCCCCAGAGATCACCCGGTTGGGCTCAGCCGGACAAGGAGCATGCGCACTAGCGGGTTGTCCGCCGTTTCATCTCCCTCAGGCTCCGCCCCCTCAGGCCACGCCCCCTTCCGACCTCCGCCTCCTTGCCCCGCCCCGCGCATGCGCAGCGGCGCATTTCCCGTGACGCTCCGCGGCGCGGGCGGTTTGGAAGAATGGCGGGCGCCGAGTCGTCCGGTTGTCTCGAAGGATGCTCTTCTACGAGCTGTGCGTGTGGCGGCGACAAGGACAAGTGGGGCAGGCGGCTCTCGGAAGACTCGAGCCGTCACCAGCTGCTGCAGAAGTGGACAAGCATGTGGAACAACGTGAGCGGGGACGCGTCGGTGGCCTGTGCAGCGGGGACGCGGCGCGAGGAGACTGCGGAGCCGGCCGAGGAGGAGGAGGAGGACAGGCCACTGGTGTTTCTGTGCTCTGGCTGCAGGCGGCCGCTGGGCGACTCGCTGAGCTGGGTGGCGAGCCAGGAGGACGCCAACTGCATCTTGCTGCGCTGTCAGTTGCCGCGCGGAGGGTGGAAGTGGGGGGTGGGGAGGAACCTGGGGCCGCCTTCTTTCCCGGGTGCAGCAACCGAACGACCGGGGAGGAGAAGGGGTGGGGGTTATTTCGAGAATGCCCGGGGTTTTTACAAGCAGGAAAATCTGGGAAGGTGAGCTGTCCCGGGAAAAGGGGAGGAGGATGGTCACCCTGGCACCTTGGGCTCGCGAGTGATGAGTCCCTTTTCTGGGGTTCCCCGCCCCCCAGCCCCCCAGCCCCCCAGCCCGGAAGAGCAGCGATTCAATCAGCATCTTTGTGAGCATTGCTCAGTAAAAAATGACCAACTAAACCGTAAGCATTTGGGGTATTAGCTAGCTGTTAATTGGTAGTTAGCTAGCTGCCAGTTGGTAAGTAATATTATTATTGGCTTATTTGGGAAATTAAGCTTGTCAGCTACCTGATTCCTGCAGGGGGATGTCAGGATTGATTTTTCTTACCTTATTAGTTGTGTTAGCGGAAGCCTTTCCCCCTCGGAAGTGTTAACAACCATAGAGTTGCCAGAACACGTTACTATCAGAAAAAAAAATTTTTTTCAAAAAGGAAACTTGTAATAAAAGCACCAATAATCCCTTCAGAATTGGGGAGGAAGGAGTTAATAGTAAAAAAAAAATCAAGAAGGTAGCTTGAGTTCTAGCTTCTAACACTAGCTCTGCCAGTTACCTGTATGTTTTCCCACTACTCTCTCATATTGTTGATTGCGTAGTATTTCTTTAGGGGAGCAGTTCACGTGTTTTTCTGAATGGGTGTAAAAATGGCTGTTCCTTTTGGACTTGTGGTTACCAAGATCAAGTTTACGCTCTGAATTCTAGAAATATTTTAGTGGCAGAAATTCACCAGGGATTTATTGACCTATGTGGAATGTTTTCCCTTTTGGGATAGAACATTGAGAAGACAGAAGAACAGCACGTCCGCCAGTTACCTGGAACTTTTTGGGACCTGCTGTTTTCCAAAAAATGCATTCACTCATTGACATTAACTGCTGGGTCCCTTTCGATTGTTAAACATAAGCCTAAGAACATCTATTTCCCGTGGTAATTCATTGGGATTTCTTTGCACCTATTAAAGGATACTGGAGGAGATTAGAGCTGCTGGAGATCTGGCGGCCAGTAGGCTTGGGGAGCCCCTTTACTAGTTATCTAAATGAACACGCCGCCCCACGCATCACCCAGAGAAGAGGATTTAGGAACACACCTGCTTTCTACAGCTTCGTTCCCCCACCCTCCGGGCGACAGCCCCTCAAATGTTAGCGTGCCTAAAAGTCACCTGCAAGCTGGTTGAAACAGATTTCTGGGCCCTGTCTTCACAGATCTAGTTCAGTGATTCTTTGCACTTTAATAGGTGCAGAAGGGTATACAAGTAAAAAAGACTTCTCCCCCAACACTGACACTCATATGCCTTAGTTTCATTTATCCTTCCAGATACCCTTCATGCATGTATGAACAAATTTAATTAAAAAAAAAACCACACTTGAGATACTATTTATGCATTCTTATTTTTAAAAATTGTATATATATTGAATGTTTCCACATGATATTTCTTACATTTTTAGGAACTTCTGGTGTCCTCTTGTTGAGAGGCAAGATTGCATGGTAATGGAGGTTCTGGACTTGCTTATATTTGAATCCTGACCTGCCACTTAATAGCTGTGTATCCTTGGGCGGATTAGTTAACCTCTCTGTGCTTCAGTTTTGTGCTCTGTAAAAGGAGGATAGTACATACATGGGGTAGTTAGGATTAAGTGAGTTACTGTGTATCATGAGCTCAGAATGTCTGGGAAGGGCCACTTAAGTGATTTTTCTAACGGAGAGACTGTTAATCCTCTTGATCTGTATCTGTTGATAGAAGTCTAGATTGTTTTCAGACTTGCTGCCATTAGAACAGCATGCACTTGGGTTGAGATTTTTGATACAGTAGGAGCATCTCTTTTTTAGTAGGCAAGAAATAGTATGTTTGGTGTTAAATCTTTCATTTTGCTTGTACTTTCTATCTTGCCTCTTTTCTATCTTGTCACATGCTTTTTTTTCCTTTTTTTGCCTGTTTTCTTTTTTGTTTTATATATAAAAACACTTATGTTATTTACTTTTTCTATATCAGTTTTTAAATTTTAAAAACTGTCAGCTTTAGACCATTCGATTTACTCCTCCCATTCACCACTACAGCCATGAAAGATAAAGAAATGAACTCTTGGGTTAACTTCCATTCCCTCCGCCTCAGTTTGAGTTAGTTTGATTACTTTTACTTGGTCAAGGTTTGTAACATTTAAGTTCAGTTCTCTAGCCATAGCAGGGTCATTGAGCCTTAATGTAACATTTGCATGATTTTTTTTTCAACTCCAGGACTCTTACTAATACAAGAAAGCTTATTAATTGCTTTCTCATTCCTGAGTTGTTTATTTCTTTAATCGTCATCAGTAGACCCTCCCAACCTCTGCCCTAATTCCCAAGAAAACTTCAAGTTTGAGTGGTTGAAAATGTCTTTCTGTTGTCTTTTACATGAATGACAACTTGACAACATGTACAATTTTGGGATCATGCTCTTTGCTTTTTCCAGGCACCGAGCAGCTAGTTCAAAGGCCCCGAGGCTTGTGTGACTGAAGAGCAGAATGAAGAGAAAGGAGGCAATAAAAGAGAGGAAGGAGGGGGCCAGCAAATTCAGGGCCTTGGAAGCCGTTCTTCAGAACTGGAATCTATTCTATTGAGTGAGGTGTTTAAGCAAGGGGGTGATAGGACCCAGATGTTTCTTTGGAGGAAGCACTGAAGGGAAGAATAAGCATGGATGTGGAAGGTCAGTAGGAGCTAGTGCAATAGTCTGGGCAAGAGGAGGTAGTGATGGCTTGGGAACAGAAGTGCAATGTGTGAGGTGGAATTGACAGGACTTATCAGTGGAGGGGAATATG